GTTCAGTCCCCACCTGTACCATAGTTTTTCTGAATTATTCATTGAGAGAATTATATGTTACGTGTTTTCTTTAATTTTTTTTTATTAACACATCGACTGATTCCCACTAAGGCACAGGGTGGCCCCAAAAAGAAAAACTTTCATCATCATTCACTCCATCATTGTCTTGCTATAGGGGTGCTTTACACTACTGTTTATAAAACTGCAACATTAACACCCCTCCTTCAGAGTGCAGACATTGTACTTCCCATCTCCAGGACTCAAGTCCAGCACTGCCAGTTTCCCTGAATCCCTTCATAAATGTTACTTTGCTCACACTCCAACAGCACATCACGTTTTTAAAAACCATTTGTCTCCATTAAACCCCTATCAAATACGCACATGCACACTTGTTGGAAGCCCAGTACCCCCTTTGCACACAAAACCCACTCCCTCCACCCCTTCCTAGGCCGACCCCTCCCCTGCCTTCCCTCCACTACAGACTTATAACACTCTTGAAATCATTCTGTTTTGTTCCATTTTCTCTACATGTCCAAACCACCTCAACAACCCTTCCTCAGCCCTCTGGCTAATAGTTTTGGTAATCCACACCTTCTCCTAATTTCCAAACTACAATTCTCTGCATTACATTCACACCACACATTGCCCTCAGACATGACTCTCCACTGCCTCCAGGCTTCTTCTCGTTGCAACTTTCATCACCCATGCTTCACACCCATACAAGAGTGTTGGTAACAACTATACTCTCTACATTTCCCTTTTTTGCTTCCATGGATAAAGTTCTTTGTCTCCACAGACTCCCAAGTGCACCACTCACCCTTTTCCCCCTCATCAATTCTGTGATTCCCTCATCCTTCATAGACCCATCTGCTGACACGTCCACTCCTAAATATCTGAATACATTCACCCCTCCATACCCTCTCCTCCAAACTGATATCGAGTCTTTCGTCACCTAATCTTTAGTTAGCCACATAACCTTACTCTTTCCTATACATATTCCCTTTTAATTTCTTCTTTTACATACCCAACCAAACTCATCCCCTAACCTCTGCAACTTCTCTTCAGAATCTCCCAAAAGCACCGTGTCATCAGCAAAGAGCAACTGTGACAACTCCCACTTTGTGTGTGATTCTTTTTTCTTTTAAAATCCCCACATCTTGCCAAGACCCTCGCACTCACTTTCTCTTACAACCACATCTATATATATATTGAACAACCATGGTAAAATCAAACATCCTTGTTTAAGGCCTACTTTTACTGGGAAATAATCTCTCTCTCTCCTACATACTTTAACCTGAGCCTCGCTATCCTTTGTAAAAACTCTTCACTGCTTTCAGTAACCCACCTCCTGTATCATACACCCGCAACATCGCCCCCTTATCCACCCTGTTATATACCTTTTCTAAATCCATAAAAGCCACAAAAAAACCCCTTAACCTTTATCTAAATACTGTTCACCTACATCAATCCTGTAAACACTTGGTCTACATACCCCATACCTTTCCTAAAGCCTCCTTGTTCATCTGCTATCCTACTCTCTGTCTTACTCTTAATTCTTTCAATAATAACTCTACCATACACTTTACCAGGTATACTCAACAGACTTATTCCCCTTTAGTTTTTGCACTCTCTTTTATCCCCTTTGCCTTTATGTAAAGGAACTATGCATGCTCTCTGCCAATCCCTAGGTACCTTACCCTCTTCCATACATTTATTAAATATTAGCACCAACCACTCCAAAACTACATCCCCTCTTGCTTTTAACATTTCTATCTTTATCCCATCAATCCCAGGTGCCTTACCCCTTTTCATTCTACCCACTGCCTCATGAACTTCCCCCACACTCAAAACTGGCTCTTCCTCACTCCTACAAGATGTTATTCCTCCTTGCCCTATACACGAAATCATAGCTTCCCTATCTCCAACAACATTTAACAATTCCTCAAAATATTCCCTCCATCTTCCCGATACCTCTAACTCTTTATTTAACCGTTTGACTGTTTTGGTCGTATATATACGTCTTACGAGGTACCATGTTTGACATATATATACCGATAAATTCTAGCAGCTTCAAATCAAGCAGAAGAAAGCTGGTAGGCCCACATGTGAGAGAATGGGTCTGTGTGGTCAGTGTGCACCATATAAAAAAAATCCTGGAGCACGCAGTGCATAATGAGAAAAAAAACTCCGACCTTTTTTTTTTAATTAAAATGCCAACTTTGTAGTCTATTTTCCTATAGTATTTATGGTTGTATTCTCGTTTTCTTGGTCTCATTTGAAAGAATGGAAAACATATTATAGAAATAGAAGTGATTTTGATTGGTTTTACTATAAAAAAAAAAACCTAGAAATGGAGCTCAAAGTAGGGGAAATGTTTGATTTTTGCCGATGTTCAAAAGTAAACAAATGATGTCACCGTTCAATAAATGTCCAACTAGCCATTCTAATATGCAGTTATGAATGGGGTAACATTATCTGTACAATTATTACAATATTGCAGTAGTCTGCATAACAGTAAATCTTTTATTTTTTGTTTCAATAAAAATTCAAAATAGAAAGCAAGAGTAATATCATAGGGGCCAGGAGACGTGACTGATGAACAAAGAAAATTTTATTTTAGAGCCAGGAATGTCTGCATTGTTCATTCTGGACCTTATTTTGAAATTGTCATATTTTTTAGTTTTCGTGAAAATGGCCAAATTGCAAATTTCTGACCACGTTATTGGGTAGTTGAAATCAGTAAATGGGCAGTTTCTTGTACTCAATTGATAGAAAACATCTAGCTCTAAAGAAATAGCTATGAGTTTGGTCGACTGGAACAATGAAATTAGCCAAAAATAGGGCTCAAAGTGGGCGAAATCGCCGATTTGTAAATATCGCCAAGGTCGCTAACTTCATGAGGGCATAATTCCGTCAGTTTTCCATCATAGTATTTCGTTTTTTTGGTGTCATTACAATCGGGAAAAGATTCTCTATCATTTCATAATTTTTTTTTTTTTTTAAATTTTGCGACACCAGGAGAAACCTCAGGATTAGGGGTTGCGACAGTCAAGGGATTAATAATTCTCCTCTCCTATTTTTAACTGTCAAATCCATTTGTTCCCTAGGCTTCCTCAACTTACTAATCTCACTCCAAAACTTTTTCTTATTTTCAACAAAATTTGTTGATAACATCTCACCCACTCTCTCATTTGCTCTCTTTTTACATTGCTTCACCACTCTCTTAACCTCTCTTTTTCTCTCCATATACTCTTCCCTCCTTGTATCACTTCTACTTTGTAAAAACCTCTCTTATGCTAACTTTTTCTCCTTACTCTCTTTACATCATCATTCCACCAATCGCTCCTCTTCCCTCCCGCACCCACTTTCCTGTAACCACAAACTTCAGCTGAACACTCTAACACTACATTCTTAAACCTACCCCATACATCTTCGACCCAATTGCCTATACTCTCACTAGCCCATCTATCCTCCAATAGTTGTTTATATCTTACCCTAAGTGTCTCCTCTTTTAGTTTATACACCTTCACCTCTCTCTTACTTGCTGCTTCTATTTTCCTTGTATCCCATCTACCTTTTACTCTCACTGTAGCTACAACTATAAAGTGATCTGATATATCCGTGGCCCCTTTATAAACATGTACATCCTGAAGTCTACTCAACAGTCTTTTATCTATCAATACATAGTCCAACAAACTACTGTCATTATGCCCTACATCATATCTTGTATACTTATTTATCCTCTTTTTCTTAAAATACATATTACTTATAACTAAACCCCTTTCTATACAAAGTTCAATCAAAGGGCTCCCATTATCATTTACACCTGGCACCCCAAATTTACCTACCACACCCTCTCTAAATGTTTCTCCTACTTTAGCATTTAGGTCCCCTACCACAATTACTCTCTCACTTGGTTTAAAGGTTTTTATACATTTGCTTAACCCTTTCAGGGTCCGTCCCGTAGATCTACAGCTTCACGTTGAGTGTCCAAACCGTAGATCTACGCCAAAATTCTAGTGCCGTCAAATTTAGCGCGAAAGCGCTCATAGGCCTACATGTGAGAGAACGGGTCTGCTTGGTGGGTGTGTGCCATAAACAAAAAAATCCCCCA